CCTTCCTCTCCCTCCTCACAGAACCTGAACTTTACGGGCTTCAGGAAGATCCTGAAGAAACACGATAAGATCTTGGAGACGTCGCGGGGAGCCGACTGGCGGGTGGCCCACGTTGAAGTAGCTCCGTTTTACACGTGCAAGAAGATCACCCAGCTCATCTCTGAGACCGAGGTACCTTCCACACATCCAAATTGAGACACGTCCCCTCGGCCACAGCTGCGGAGCTGCGATGCCGCTCCAAACGAACGACGGATGACCGACCTTCAAACTCTGTGTTTCAGGCGCTGGTCACCACAGAGCTGGAGGGCGGAGACAGGCAGAAGGCCATGAAGAGGCTGAGGGTCCCTCCGCTCGGAGCTGCACAGGTCACACACACAGATGTAGATTGTTGGTGTTCTGATCACTGCAGCTGTGTGCCTTTGATTTTTATGGCTCACTTCAAGTTTGTGCAAACAACAAACCTTTGCAGAAAAGTGCATAAAACTGTGGTGCAGCATGCTGATTGTGCTGCAAATATCAGTCTTTATTGTCTGTCTAAATTCTCTCTGTGGAAATGTCACAGCAACGATCCAGGGATGCTCCTCTTTGTCCATAGTTATCTCTTTATTTTAGACCAGGTGGCGTCTCTGCTGCCACCCCGGCCTCGGTCTCCATCTCACATCCTTTACAGGAGCATCGAGTTTCCACTGTGGAATAATGATGATTATCTGCAGCTCAGCGCTGTGAGAGGCGTGGTCTTTGTGATTGGGGCCGCCTTCTTCATCATGTACTTGTATGGTGATGACTTCTGTTGATGACCCCTGAGCTGCTGTGAGCACTGGCTGCCTTGTTAGCTTCGTTGTTAATTTCTCCAGATCAGAGAGGGTTGGTGACGGGTGGGCGTGGTTTTTTCAACCTGCGCGGGGTTTTAAACAAACAGCCCCTGAAGCTGCCTTATGACTCGATGCTGGGAAGCATTTGACCGGGTGCATCTGTTTTATGCTCTCAATACATTTGGATTTGGCCCTAATTTCATTTCATGGGTTCAGTTTCTTTCCTCCTCACCTCTGAGGCACGTGTTATAACAAATCCGCTATTGTCTTCTTATTTCCCACTTCTCCGTGGTACGAGACCAGGATGTCCCTTATCGCGTCTTCTTTTTATCAATCAAAGCGTTGGTGATTAAACTGCGAGCTGACAGTTGCATTAAGGGCATGTTCAGAGCTGACCGGGAGCACAAAATATCCTTCTATGCTGACGACCTCCTGATGTCAGAGCCTTCATGCTCTCTTCCTCGGGCTCTCGCCGGTTTTCAATGTTTTGGCCATATTTCAGGCTACAAGTTGAACCTGCATAAAAGTGACCTTCTCTGTGTGCACTCTGTAGCCAGGAAGATTGATGAAAGCTCTTTATGAAAGACACTTTGTCGCGCTGCTCGAGAGTACTGAGATCTTCAGAGATGGACCAGTTTACCGCTGTCATTAACTGGCTGCATCAGTCCTATCAAAATGAACATACGGCCCAAGTTCCTTTATTTGCAGTGTGTCCCATGCTACTTACCCAATAAGTATCTCTGCATTTGTTTTTACTGGCAAAAGTCCACGAAAGATTTCATGCAGAGAACTAGGCCAAACTTTCAGTCTTATTATTGGGCAGCAAATATTTGAAATATGCTGTACTGGAGGAGTAGTTCTACTGCAGAGACTCCAGCTTGGCTCCAAAGTGAGTCTGAGCTTTGTTGAGTCCTCTCCCATTAGATCTGTGCACCTGTGTAACCCTGCATGACGCTCAGAATCTGGCTGCAATGTAGGAAAAGGTTGGGGTTACACTTAATGCCAATTAAAGCACCTATCAGCTCAAATCACATGTTCCCACCCTCCATGATGGACTTTAAAATACGGGAAAGTAAAGGCCTTAGAAATGGCAAAGACCTTTTTGTAGCTGGGGTTGTTGCCTCGTTCACGCAGCTCCTGAAGCTGTTTAATGATCCTCAGCAACATTTTTTCCACTATTTACAAATTCTCCACTTTGTAAAGAGCCGATTTCCTTCATTTCAGGAACTACCTGAGGAAACGTCTTTGGATAAAATGATTAATATGAACATTCATAAGAGATTAAAGGAATCTGCGAGATATTATTAGATCTCCTTCTCTTTCCATCCTTAAAGCACAGGGGCAGAGACCCTGGGATGGCGATCTTCTCTCCAGAGGCTTCACTCTTCTTCTTCTGTGTGCCAGGCATGAGCTGCAGTTCAAGGTCCTACACTGATTACATATCTCCAAGGAAAGGTTAGCCAAGTTCTCTGCAGGAGCCGAGCCCGGTGTGACAGATGTAAAGCAGCACCAGGTTCACGCCTTCATACTTTGTGGACGTGCCCCGATCCTCATGACTATTGGCTGTCTGTGTTTAGCACCCTTTCACAGATATCAACGTTAAATCTGATCCTCGTGCTCTAACGGCTGTCGTTGGGATGATGCCTGAAAACATCACTCTGCCAAAATACTCTTCACTTCTGTTGCCTTTGCTTCAGTCATTGCAAGGCGCCCTATGCTTTGAAGATGAAGCAGGAAGCTCCTCCCACACGTGAACAGTGGCGTGCAGAGCTCGTCAGGTTTTTGCATTTGGCAAAGATGAGATGTACACTGGCAGGTTCCTTCTCAGGACCGGATAATATCTCTATATCACCATCATAGTTAACTGTACACTGAATGTCCCTTATGCATTTAAATATTTGTGTTTGTTGTTTGTTTTCCTTCTTTCTGTTGTCTTTTGGGGGTGTTGTAAATACTGAACAGCAAAGTACTGCATGTTCGAAGTGTTGCTGTTAGCTGCTGTGACTGAAAATAAAAGAAGCAGAGCTGGTCGCGCTGCACAGCTGTGCAGGTGCTGTAACCGTGTCCGTGTGTCCACAGCCTGCTCCTGCCTGGACCACCTTCAGAGTCGGCCTTTACTGCGGAGTCTTCCTCGTCTTATTGGTCGTTGTGGTCATCACAGGTAAAACACAGTGACCTTTGTAACACTGAAGTGTCTCGTTTATACTTCCTGGAATCTGACTGTGTTTGTGGACAGGCCAGAAATATGTAAGTGTTATTCTGGTCGTCATGGGACGCGCGTGTCACAGGTGCTGTTTTAACCCAGACACTGGGCAAGTTTCAGACGGCTTTAATGGTTTGGCTCAGGGCTGTCACACTGTGGGCCACAAACAGCCCACGGACCAGTGACGCGCCCCCTACTGTCAGTGTGAAGACGTCGCATATCGAACTGTTTTTCTACACGATAAAGAAAGAAACCTGTCAGCACGACTCTTTGGATTTAACTGACATACCCGTCCAGTTTTTGTCTCCTATAGTAGAAAGTCCAGAGTCCATTATTATTATTATTATTATTTCTATAATAATAATAATAATACTTTATTACGCCACAGGAAAAAGGAGACTTTTGTGAGAGAAGGGAGAAATAAATGATTCTGGAATATCAGCATCCTGGTGGGAGGTGAGAAAGATGGAGCAAAGCGTGACAGCACAGCGGTCTGTAAAGTTAGTGTTACTACAGTCGTATTGTTAAGGCATCAGGTGAGAATGAAGAGAGAGACTAAAGTATTCACCACAGTAACTGACCAGTAATACATTTCTGTGAATGTGAGGAACAGTAGTGTGTAAAGTTGTGGAGGGAAAGACCAGTGTTGTTTATGCAGCACCCTGACAGGCGCCTCAGGGTGCTTTACATTGTAAGGTAGACCCCACAATGACACATGCAGAGAAAACCCAACAGTCATGTGACGAGTGACAGTGGAAGGAAACCTGCAGTAGGACCAGGCTCCTTCCTGCTGACATCAGAAACAAAGATTTCATGATTTCCACAGGAACAGGCAGGAGCAGTGGAAAACGATGTAGGTCGTAATTATATGAATTCTTTTAATGAGTGAGCAGCACACTTCCACCTCTGATAAGCATCTTAAATCTGCACAACAACGGGAGCAGAAGAAGGACGAGCAGAGAGATGATTGGCCTTTCTTTGTATTCACTTGTGTTGTTGTGATTGTTTAGTTGTGTTTTGGGGTTTTTAGGTTGACTTGTAACAGTATCCACAGGAAACAAAGTGAGGTGCCGTCCCATCCTCCAGTAGAACCATCATGAATGTTGGTTTCCACTTGTTGTTGTGCAGATAAACAAAAGTCTGTTTGCAGACATGCTGCAGACTGCTCACATCAGGCACTTTGTTTTTGCTCTGAGCAGTTTTGCTTGGTATTGATGGTGCTGTCTCCTGATTGGTCTTTGTCATTAGTAGCTGTGGGGACAGATCGTTCTGATGTTTGGCCTATGGTCCGAATCTACAGAGGAGGCTTCCTGTTAATAGAATTCCTCTTCCTGTTAGGTATGGACACACAGACACTCTCACACTGTAGCTTATGTGCCAAGTTTGGAGTCGAGTTAGTCATCAACTCGTATCAGAGGCAGGAAGTTAAAAAACAACTCTTTTGTCTTGTAGGCATCAACACTTACGGCTGGAGGCAAGCAGGCGTCAACCATGTGCTCATATTTGAACTGAACCCCAGAAACAACCTGTCCCATCAGCATCTGTTTGAGGTCAGAGGTCAGATTGAACCAAAGAAAGAAGTCGTGTTCTCATAGAGATGATTTAACGATCTGTGGGCCGTGGCCCCCTCCACGGGGAGAGGATGCTGACTGAGTCATTGTGTGTGCAGATTGCAGGTCTGCTGGGGGTGCTGTGGTGCGTAAGCCTGCTGTCCTGTCTCTTCAGCGACAAGATCCTGGTGCCGATGCAGGCCAACCCTCTGGCTCTCTATGGGCTCTTCTTCCTTTTCCTCATCAACCCCTTCAAGACCTGCTACTACAAGTCACGCTTCTGGCTGCTCAAACTTCTGGTAATGGCCCTGACCAGAGCCTTTACATCGTACTTTTTGTGTGGTTAAGCTTTTATTCTGAAGAGGGCTCTTCCTGTGACGTCTTCCTCCGCAGTTTCGAGTGGTGACGGCTCCGTTTCACCGCGTTGGCTTTGCAGACTTCTGGCTGGCTGACCAGCTCAACTCTCTGGTGGTGGTGCTGATGGACCTGGAGTACATGATCTGTTTCTACAGCTTTGAGCTGGACTGGACCAAACACAACGGGCTCATCAGCAGAGGTGAGGCTCCGAGATGCTCGCTGCTCACGCGCACGTGTCGGAGCAAACCGGTGGCTAAATGTCGTCCTCTTCAGGTAACGATGTGTGCAACTCGTACTCGTATGGCGTTCGGGCGGTGATCAAGTGTCTTCCTGCGTGGTTCCGATTCGTCCAGTGTCTGCGCCGTTACCGTGACACCAAGCGGGCCTTCCCTCATCTGGTTAATGCTGGCAAATATTCCACCACCTTCTTCGCTGTTACCTTCTCCGCCCTCTACAGCACACACAAAGGTAGGCTAACAGATGCCGTGTTATAAGGCAATGCCATCCTGAGCTCGTTCTCTCCTCTGTGTTGTTATTATGGGATGGAGCTCTAATGGCAGGCTGTAACTGGAGAACACTCTGATGTCCCGCCCACAGACGCAGGCTCGGAGGCCCAGATCTTCTTCTATCTGTATATTGGCTGTTTGGCGCTGAGCTCGTGTTACACTCTGGTCTGGGATCTGAAGATGGACTGGGGACTGTTTGACCGCAACGCGGGAGAGAACACCTTCCTGAGAGAGGAGATAGTCTATCCACACAAGGTATTACACCACACAAAGAAGCTGCAGCTCCTCCTGTGGCCACTTTACAAAAGTCGGTGTCCAAATGTCAGGACTTCAGGCTGAACTAAGCAGGCTTGCTGCTGCTAACCCTGTCATCCACAAATCAGCAGCAGCACGTGTTGTTATGTAGTCACACAGCATGAATGTGAAGCGCGTGCTCTGTTGTGCGTCCTCCTGCAGGCCTATTACTACAGCGCCATAGTAGAGGACGTGCTGTTACGCTTCGGATGGATCTTAACGGTCACCGTCACCACGCTCGTCACGTTTGACGGCATCTCTGACATCTTTGCTACAGTCCTGGCCCCGCTGGAGGTCTTTCGGTACACAGAGTCTTTTTTCTTTATTCATCCCTTTGGTTTTTCTCATAGTTCATTCCTAACTTTGTGTATCTGCAGGGCCTAGATCAGGAAGTGATAAAGTAACAGAAACTCAGTAACGGGTTAATGTGTGATCCTTGTAGGCGCTTTGTGTGGAACTTCTTCCGCTTGGAGAACGAACATCTGAACAACTGTGGTGAATTCAGAGCCGTCAGAGACATCAGCGTGGCTCCGCTCAACGCCGACGACCAGACCCTCCTGGAGCAGATGATGGACCAGGAGGATGGCGTGAGAAACCGACAGGGCAAGAAGAGCTGGAAGAGGAGCTACAGTATGAGCCTGCGCAGGCCACGCCTGGCCTCGCAGTAAGTCTTTTCCCCGTCTGTCTGTCCTGCTGAGTGCAGGCGTGGGCCCCTCAGTCACGGCAGAGGAGACGCATGTTTCATCAGCGTGCACAGAAGGCCGTCGACCCCACGTAGAACAATGTAGCTTCATGCAAAACAGAGAAACTGCAACGTCATTTATTATAGATACAGTCAGCGCAGTGATATCTGGGGGGGTTAGCTCGTGGTCCTGCAAAGGTTAGCTATCTCAGGTAGTTGTTTACTTGCATAGCAATCTGTTTCATGGTAAAACCACAGCCTGATAACCTGTGAAGACCTCTGGTTATTATGTTCACACGTAAAGCGCTGACTCAGAAAACAGATGATTGGATGTTTAAAGGTAAAATCTTGTGTTTGTCTCAGGTTTAAAGCATTCAGTCATTCTGTGATTGCAGAGAAACATCACAGACACATGTGGCGGTGCCTCAGTGTGCAGAGGCACCGCCACATGTGTCTGTGGCAGTTAAAGTGAGAACTGAGTGACGCTGGTGATCCACGGGCCTCCTGCAGCCTGATTGTATAGACAGTATGTTTGATGCCACCTAATTTACACAGTGTCACCATTTAACAGTGTAGATCCCAGTGCATACATATCCAGTATAAACATATTAAACAAGGAAGATGTGAAAGCAGTGTTGAAGTTGTGTGTCGTGTGTGAACACGCGTGTCGCAGCCACGGCTGTGCGAACACGCGTGAGACAGACGACATTAGCTCAGTGATCAGTCGTGGACTTGAGTTCCCACTTTAAGAGCTTCCTTCCTGTTTCTCCTTTTAGGTCCAAGACTCGTGACACCAAGGTTCTGATAGAGGACACGGATGATGACTCCTGACATCAGGCCACGCCCCTCGCCTGGGTCCAGAATTTATTCAAAGGAGGAAACTCCACCTCCTAACTGAGGATTTACCCAGAGAGTGGGCGTTGAGCTCCCAACCAGGGATGAGTTTGAAGCTCGTACCTACGTCATCTTGTTTTTCTCTGCTTGGGTTCAGGACTGCTCGGACGGATGAACTCTGACCTCTTAAACAAACAACCCAGCTACGTGTCCAACCTGCTGTCAACACTCCCCGATGGTGGGCTTATCACTTAAACTCTACTTTACCCAGGCAGCCTCCCAGAGGTGGATTCTTAAACTACACCCACTCCTCCACCGCTGCTCGGGCTCTTCTCGAAGCCTCAGCATAGCACGAGTGAAACACCAGTGACATTTTCCATTTCCCAGTGCCGTCTCAGTGCCACACCACTCCCATACAGGGAGAGGCCAACAATTTAAGCCTGTTGCTGTCCTTTGGCCATCAGCATCCCCCGCTCCCAGCATCCAGGAAACGACTGGGCAGAGGCCTGTAGTAGGTTATGTAGTAGCTGCAGAAATTAGGAACCACCCTGTACTTTGCCCCTCGGAAGGAAAACAAAAACACAACGGGTTAAAACGAGTCCTCCGCAGCAGACGGTGCTGATGGACATCTGGTAACTGTGGCGTCCCCGTGCTGTTCAGCTTGATCACTCAGTCATCACAGAGCTGCCTACCTGCACCTTACATGCTTTAGAAACATGCACTTTGTAGGAGCGTGAGATGGAGGCCCATCATGTCTCGACACACGGACGGTGATTTTAGTGTTTCATCGTTGGTGGACGTGCAACGCTCAGCCATTATTCACTATAAGGAGACAGAAACGTGGCTTTTTCTTTGTACCTGTTGTTGTAAATGTACCACGGACCAAAGTTCAGTGTGTGTGGAAATATTTAGTGAGTGCCACACAGAAAACACACTGTGTAGTGCTGCCGGCTGTTCGGCTGTGGAGCTAAGAAGGAGTTCTGCTTTTGAAGGATGATGAACGACCGTCATCCTGTCGTAGTTCCCACTCACCCGCCCCGGGGAATGGTTTGAATGTACATCACATTATTCGTATAGGTGTAGATCTGCCACCTCGTCGGGTTTGAACAAACTTGTGTTGTCCCCTGAAATCGTGATTTGAAAACCTGAAGACTGTTTGAGTAGAAACAGTTGGTTTGTGCAACATGTCGTCTTTGGGCTGGTTCACTGAAATATGAGGGTGGAGACGAAGGCAGAGGTCACCTGTCTGTCATCAGTGTCTGTCTGTCAGCAGGTGGTGTACTGAAACCTGATTGGCTACGTGTATGCTAACTTGGGCGTGACTGGGCTGAAGCTTGACAGCAAGAAATGCCGCTCTGAAACAAAGTGTGTGCAGCACGAAGCTGTGAGTCTTAAGAAGGAACAGTCTTAGTTGTTGCCTTTTTGACCTTCCTGCAGCAGGGGAGCGATTCCTGGTTTGTGCGCCATCATCAACAGGTCGCACACATCGGTCTGTTTTCACTGCTCGTTTCTGCCTGATGATGTTTCTTAGAGACGGGACAACACTGGAGGAAAGGCTTTCCTAAACGTTGCTCGATGATCGGTTGCTCTTCACGTTCCAAAAGTCGTCAGCTCCCTTTTGCTTCGTGCTTGGATGAGATCGCGTCTGACGACAGCTTCTACAAAGTGTTGCTGTCTGTGTTTTCATGAGGCGGCGGTTCGTTTTATGTACTTAGTTTTAATGTTGTGTGGATGCATTTGGAAGTCCTGGCGTGTGATGGCCTAAGACTTGTGTGCACTTTTTTACTTTTCTCTGCGGAGCCTCGTTGTGATGTTTCTGTTCTGCTGTATTTGCCTCCGTACAGACTGAGGCTCTTTCAATCCTCACAATGCATCCAAATACATGTTTGCGTCTTAATGTTTTACATTTGGGAAGTTCTGATTTGGATCCTCAGTTTATTTCTCAGCTGAAATAAGAAGCACGTTAGCGTTAGGCTATCGTCGGATAACAACATTCCCATAGTTTCTGTTTTTTCCTTATTATTGAGCTAAAATAAAGACAAATAGATTCCATAGTATATCAAAGTTTGTACGTCTGATGCTAATTATCATTTATGATCACCATCACACGCTGTCTGAGATTTGTCCACCACATTAAACATGATTCCACTTCCAGTCACCAGATTAAAAAACAGAGCGTGCTCCCTGATTGGTCGGTGAGTGCTTCCTGTTAGCTGTCATGTTGCTACGTGACTTCCCTGTGATTGCCAGGGTTGCTCGCAGTTTGCCTGGAATATGCTGACTGAGCAGTTTTCTAATTGCCTCCGAGCTGTGGGAAGTGTGTCCCGTCTGGAATTGGAGAACTTTTTCCTTCAAAGTAAAAGCTGCGCCTCAACACATTTAAGGTGCAGCTATTACTCTGAAGGGGAACGTTGTGTTTCCAGTTGCACTTTTCACATTATCAGTTCTGCAGGGGGCGTGGCCAACAGGTGTGTGCAGACACGTCAGCATCTTCCATGCAAACTGCAGACTAACAAGCACTACATACCTGTGACCAGGTTCACCAACCAGCTGCTGGTGACCTGATGGTCATCTGACCCGACCGTCAGATGACCATCTGACGCGCTGCCACCACATGGTCACTTTTTATGAAATGAAACAGTAAAAATGATCTGCAGAGACCATCGCTGTGCTAGCTGTTAGCTTGTGACAGGAGGTGTAATGCTTCAGCCCGACTGACTGATTTTACTGCATCACTTTTAAAATGCCTCCGTGTAGCTGACAGTCCAGGATTGGACCAGGATATGATGCTTCTGTTTCCCAACTACAACATGGAGCTCTGGCAGGTTTGAGTATGTAACAGTGTTCATACTGGCTCTATAAATGTGGAGTCAAACCGACCTGACGGTGCGTTTCCCTACATCCTGTGTCTGCTTTCAGTTTCAGCGAGCGCTCCGGGAGCTCGTCTGCTCATTCCTCACGCACACATTCATGCACTCTAACATTCCCACAGCGACCCTTTGAAAACCTCGTTTCCTGATACGTTTCCAAGCATTTGCCGACTGTAGCTCGAGCTCAGGGTTCATGTCCGTCACAGACACACTGAGCGTGACAGGGTCGTCCTCGGGTAACCATCAGAGAGCAGCACATGTTCGTCCGACACGGTCGCTCCACCCAAAGACGAGTCAGTCCCGTGTTCGTACTGTTACTTTGTAGCTCCTCAGGTTTCACATTGACACACAGATTAAAATACAGTGAAGCCATCGATGCATTGTGAACAGTGTGTTTCACATTGGCAGGAGAGTGGGAGACGCAATGTGATGAAGATTTTGTACTCAGGATATTGTGAGCACACTTGCACCTTAACATGCTAACTCACGAGCAGCTGCGGAGCCCCCGACTGCACGCAGCCCCCCATCACCCCGCGTGCCCTTTGCGTCTGTTTGCCTCCTGTTGTGCATCCAAGTCCAGGACCAAATAACATGTTGTGATGCAGAAAGTCTAAGTTGGGCTTCTTTTCATGTATTTACATTGAATGCATCAGTTGCTTCATGATTTCAGCTGCAGGCTGACTTGGCTGTAGCTTTATTTTACACTCCGTTTTTATACGCCTGTGAGACTTTAAAAATGTTTGATGTTATGACAGACAGGTGACGCCCTCCACCCTGATGAAGCTGCCCAGCAGTAGAGTGTAGGCCTGGGCCACACTTCACTATGATGTTGGGATTGTCAGAAACGTGCCACCAAAAGCCAAATCGAATGTTTGATCTAGTTTGTGATTTTTCCCTTTTTTTGTTCACATATTTTAATCCATGTTGAAATTTAAATGTTAATTTTGGTCAAAATGTTTTGGATGACATTATACATTTGATATGTTTCACGGTTCAAATAAAACGTTGTATAGAGACCTGTGTTAATATTTCATACCTCACCAAGTGGGAGAGTCGATAGCCTAGAACGGTGGAATCTGCTGTTTTGGAGAATGTCTGAACCCTCGGTGATTTCCCAACATTTCACACTGGACAGCTGACTCTGAACAACATGTCAGTAAAAGGAGATCAAAGGTCAAAGACTTGAGATTCTGTTGGTTTTCTCCTGGGCAGGAAAATGAGGTTGTCTACACAATATTAGCTGGTCACTCTGTCAGGTATTTTCCATCATCTTGGCCAAGCGCTATGTTGTGTTAGGTGTGTTCTTTGACCATATACTGTACATAACCGAAGCATGTAACCTCTACAGTTAGTGAAGCATCACTTCCCCATTCACCCATTTCCTTATCCTCTTGTCCCACCTGGGGGAGGTCCATAACTGGGCTAAAGGTCATTAGCTTAGCAGCCAGATGGCACATGGACCGAGGGGTGATGCACACTCAGACAGTAGTGACTTATAAGTTACACAGTAAGACATGCCTGGATTTATCTTCCTCCTGGATTCTAATGGAGACCGTGATGAAAAAATCAATCTCGTTTTGTATTCGTCAGTGTGTGAAACTAGCCACTGGGACCATGAACTCATCAGGAAAATGTTTACTGTGGTCACAGATCGAGCCAACTGGGAGCCCTTTAAAGATGGATGTAGCTACAGTGATGTCACCCTTTGAGCCAGGAGTTTTTCACTTTTCCTGGGCCATTGGTTTGCAAAAAACCTGAGGCGGGGCTGGGGGGTTCTGATTGTCATCAGCCAATGATAACACACTTTGAAACGTAGTATGACCAAGATTTGCAAACTAAATTTTTTTTTTTTATTACATTTGACCCAAAAGCAGTGGATGAGATCATAAACTGGGTATGAAGGTGTGTGCAGAGGTGGAGACCGCCACTTTCCCAGCTCTGTGAGGCTTTTTGCAACCACAGCTATCGCCATCTGGTGGCCTAAAATAGAATGCAAGTTTTTAAGCACTTCTGCTTTAGCTTAATTTTTCTGACACAGATGCCATGCCCAGGTTTTATCTGTCTACAGTAATCCCCCTGTGCTGCCAGCGAAGGATCGAGGTTTGTGTGTTTCAGGGCACACTGTATGTCATCTGGACCCAGCATTAGACCAGCACAGAGGATTCTGTCAAGAGCAACACTTTCAACAGAATTGATTGTGATTGGCTGCTAAGTTGTAATACTCCTTGAATGAAACGCATGAAGATTTCTGTAGAGGAAGCAGCACGGCTCGTCACTCCCAGGTGTCTTTTTAGCTGCAGTAACAGGTAAACAGGGTTTTTATGAATGAACTTTTGCAAACTCATTTTCCTGCAGCAGCTCTGAGTTTTCTCTGAGGCATTTATTCTTCAAGCAGCGGGATCTTATTTTTCTCAAAACCTTTCAACAGTTTGGTAACACTCCAGTCTGCGTGGAACCCTTACTGGCCGGTTCTGTTAGATCCATTATCATCCTCCAAGAATCTCCACACCAATGGGTCCGCAGCATGGAACATTGCACAGGACAAAGATCGAGGGACATGATTTGTTTTACACATTTGAATGTATTTTTACACCAAAAACGTGCATTTTTTGGTGTGATTGGTTAAAATGTGGAGTGATCTGAGACACTAACCTTCTAAATGTGGCACATGAAGAAGGTTGGCTCGAACTATCTTGGAGACCATATGGATGAAATAAGATTTACACAGGAATAAAGCCCTAATCGGGCTCATCCCCAACTACCAAAACAAGTGTGGGTTTTTGTTTGTTTTTTTACAACTGTAAACACTTTTAATTTGCATTGTGACCCAGAACCATTTGGTTTTACATTATATATGGATGAACATACTCATTAGAAGCATTGTATAATCAAAGACTGATCTGTGAGTGTTGTCTTGTATGTACAGTAGTAGCGTAATGCTACAGGGGCACCTGGTTCACCAACTCCTGTTACACGTTTTTCAGTAAAATGAGCTAAAGCTGTAACTTGTTTCTGACTGCAGATCTTTTTCTTCCTCACATTTCAGTCTCCTTCACCCCTGAGCCTTCCTGGCTGAAACAGAACCACCACACGGCCACAGACCAAATCTAAGTTTAGATTGTGTCGGCAGGTTAAGATACAGCGAGTTACAGTAATCCAGCTGAGATGTAACCAGGCATTGATGTTAGTTTTCAAGTTATTTTTAGAAATGAGCTACAATGGTTGCAAAGATTTCTGATTTGATTTCTAAAGGCACTATCAATATGAAATTATCACCACATGTCAGTAACAATCCATCCAATCCACACATGCAAAGAAATCAAACCATAGATATCCATAAATTATGTGCAATAACGAGAAATGACACAGGGAACAAGTATTGAACATCCATCCATCTTCTTCCGCTTATCCGGGACCGGGTCACGGGGCCAGCAGCCTAAGCAGAGAAGCCCAGACCTCCCTCTCCCCAGATCAAATGTCCCGTCGCAATGGGCCAGACACCCCATACTCCCGCACACCTCCCACAGGACACCCCGAGGGACACGGTCGAATGCCTTCTCCAAGTCCACAAAACACATGTAGACTGGTTGGGCAAACTCCCATGCACCCTCAAGTATCCTCGAGAGGATAAAGAGCTGGTCCAGTGTTCCGCGACCAGGACGAAAACCGCATTGTTCCTCCTGTATCCGAGGTTCGACTAGCGGACGAACTCTCCTTTCCAGCACCCTGGCATAGACTTTCCCAGGGAGGCTGAGGAGTGTGATCCCCCTGTAGTTGGAACACACCCTCCGGTCCCCCTTCTTAAAGATGGGGACCACCACCCCGGTCTGCCAGTCCACAGGTACTGCCCCTGATCTCCACCAACATTGTAGAGGCGTGCAACCAACCGATAAGACTCCTTCTTCAGCCTGGTGGCTCCCTTCACCTCTGGTGTCCACCATTTGGTTCGGGGATTACCACCACGACAGGCACCAACCACCTTGCGGCCGCAGCTCAATGCAGCAGCTTCGGCAATGGAGAGCTGAACATGGTCCATTCGGACTCAATGTCCCCATCTCCCTGGAATGCTGTTGAAGCTCTGCCGGAGGTGTGCGTTGAAGATCTCGCTGGACTGGGGCCTCTGCTAGACGTTCCCAGCACACCCTCACTACGCGTTTAGGTGCACCAGGTCTGTCCAGCGTCCTCCCCCGCCACCTGATCCAACTCACCACCAGGTGGTGATCAGTTGACAGCTCAGCCCCTCTCTTTACCCGAGTGTCCAGAACATATGGTCGCAGGTCTGGTGATACGATTACAAAATCGATCATCGACCTGCGGCCTAGAGCGTCCTGGTGCCACGTGCACTTATGGACACTCTTATGTTCGAACAAGGTGTTTGTTATGGCCAAACTGTGATTTGCACAGAAGTCCAATAACAAAACACCGCTCGGGTTCAGATCAGGGAGGCCGTTCCTCCCAATCACGCCCCTCCAGTTCTCACTGTCATTGCCCACATGAGCACTGAAGTCTCACAGTTGGACAACAGAGTCCCCAGGTGGAGCTCCTTCCAGCACCTTGCCCAGGGACTCCAAGAAGTCTGGGTACTCTGAGGTGCCACTCGGCGCATAAGCGCAAATGACAGTAAGAACCCGTTCCCCAACCCGAGCACTGAGGTGAGCCCGACGTTTTCTAGCCGGTACCTCTCAACCTCAAGCACTAACTCAGGCTCCTTCCCCAAAAGTGAGGTGAAATTTCATGTCCCAGTTGCTAGTCTTGGTAGCCGGGGTTTGGTCTGCCAGGGTCTCTGTTCCTGGCTGCTGCTCGGCACACAATGCACCCAACCACTATAGCGCCTCCTGGGGGTGGTGGGCCTGCAGGAGACCCATGTCCCCTTTTTCGGGCTATTCCTCCATGGACTAAGGTCCGGCCCCCAGACGCTTGCCCTCGGGGACTCTCCCCAGGCCTGGCTCATGGGCGGGGCCCCGGTAACCCTACCCTGGGCAGGGTGAACTGTTCGCTTGGTGTCCTACTCATAGGGGTCTTCTGAATCGCTCTTTGTCTGGTCCCTCACTAGGACCAATTTGCCATGGGAGACCCTGACGGGGCAGAAGCCCCCAGACGACATAGCCCTGGGATCCCTGGAACACACAAACCCCTCCACCACAATAAGGTAGCGATTCATGGAGGGAATGAACATGTTTACTGAAATGGATTCAATACGTTGTACAAAAGCGTTTGTTGGCTTCAATATGCCTGCTGTATGCAGAAACTAGTCACAGTGACAGGTGTGATTTTACCCGTGCTTCCACACAGTCCAGAAGGTTCCGGGTCATTCTAGCAGCTTTGGTTTGTCTCTCTGAAACTAACAGAGTTTGTTGGCTGTGTTTGGCATCACTGTCCCCTCGTTTCATCTTCATCATCCTGGTAGGTGGCAGCAGGTTTTTATCAAGACTCTCAGGACTTTTTCCACTCATCCTTTAATTATTTGAATCACAGTGCTGTATGCTGAAAAACAGCCCCACATCACGATGTTCCCACCTGTTGGTTTGGTGTTTTTGGGGTGATGTGCACTGCTTTTCACCTCCAAACATGGGGTGTATTCTGGCATCCAGAGAGTTCAGTTTTGGTCTCATGTGACCAGACTCTACTCTCCCAGTGTTTCACAGGCTTGTCTAAATGTTGTTCAGCAAACTTTAAATGTACTTGCCTGTGATTTGGGATTTTCATGTGTGGATTGGATGGGTTGTTACTGACACGTGGTGAAAATTTCACATCAATAGCACCTTTGGAAATAGATTTGCTTCGAAAGTTGGTGACTTGTTCAAAACTCATTTTACCTGCTGTATTGATAGTTCATATTACAGGATTTATAAAGAACAAAAAAGAACTGAGCACTGAGAAACTCCATGTCAACTGGACAGTGGATGAAGTGCAAATGCCCCCGACAGTTTCAGGCTGTAATGATATGTCCACCCGATACTTAGACACCCAGGGTAAAAACACATGGGCAGCTATAGCAAAGCTAAAGGAGATGATCAAAATAGCTCCATCACTGAATATCATGAGCGTGTTCTTTTCTAATGTGGGGGAAAGATAATGAACTATATCAAACTGCTATATCAAAAGAAATACTTTTGATATAGCAGTCAAAATTATTATGAAATACTACTACCAATGATTACAGTAATAGTAGTAATAATAATTACAAGCTGTTCCCCTGTATTTAGTTTAATCAGTGACCCTGCCAGAGCTAGCTAGCACGTCTAAACAATAAAGATAGTGGTCAAAGACAAACGTCCAAACTACTGAATATGAATTCAATAAGGTGTATATACAGATATATAGGTTTAAATAAGTTCCAGAGCTTTGTTAGAAATGCCATGTTTGTTATTAGGAAAGTAAAGACACTTTGCTTTATGCGTCATTTTCTGTAAATACATTTATATATGAACAACATCTGAGTAAATGAGTGAAAAAAATAAATCTTCAGTAACATCAAAATGATCTTTTATTCTTTCAGTTCACTCTGTTCCATGTTTCATGTGTTTATGTTCATTTTAATCTTTTATTTTGATCACATTCTCTCTACTTTTATTTACTGGTTGTTTCACAGAGTACTACTATTGTAGTTTTGCCCATCTAGGATACACAGAGGCTTTAGGATGGTTCATATTACGAATGCGCTCCTGCCCCCTGCAGTAAATGCTTTTAACCAGCAGGGGGAGGTGTTGTCATTTTCTCCCAAAACAAGAACGCTCAGAGAAACGTCACTATTGGTGTTTTACTGATGTGGTTACAGATTTCAATGGTTTGACCCATATGAACCCACACCCTGTTAAAGTTTCAACATTAACTCTACCATAGTTTTCCTGACAGTCTGGGCTCTCATGGGTCAAAGGTGTCTTTCAGCCCTGAAAGGGTCATATGGCCGGCTGAAGATTGATAAATGCTGGCAAGATCGCATAAAGTGAAAAGAGCCAAATTTGGGCCCAGCCCTAGAGTTTAAAGGTAAAATGATGCACAGCTTCATCAACATATTAGCTGAGGTTACTAAGAATCAGCTGATTGTCAGGGTTGCCACAGGCTGATGGTCTGTACAGGCTGGATCCCGACATTCACCTGGAATAAGGCCTGAATCGGTAGAATGAGTTGAAGTAACTGCATGGATGGATGGCAGACACTTACTTTTCATGGAGTGGGCTTTTTGAGTGTCCTGAAGACAGCTCAGTGACACCTGGACTTAACCCATAATGGCAGCTTTCTCTGTTTTCCTCACAGCCACTGGATAAATGACAGACTCTAAAAAAGCGTATTGATATTTGAATATTCATAATATGAATCAAAATGTGGGATGAGTGGACAAAGGATTAAACAACTGTGCAGTCTCCAATACAAACCCAGGTCAGCAGTCACAGGGAGTTGCAACTGTTGAGAGATTTAAATGATATCCACAGTATTGATACTAGCGCTGGCATTGGTATTGGATCTATACTATGATCGATCCTTTGTTAATGTTAAATTCATTGGTGTTTATGCACTGTGAGAAATGGCTGAACCTGTGCTGTCGCATCTATGTTATCTATAAGCCTCAAACACATTTAAACACACGTCAGAGACGAGCACAGCTCCAAAAACCCAAAACATGAATGAAAAGTGTGTTTTCTTATTGCTGTACCAATCCCAGCGTTTAGTTTGCAGATTCTTCCCAACCTCTGTCCGCTGCACGTGAAAGGTCAAAGTATCGGTATCGGTGTCACTGCCAGTGTTGCCAACGTAGCGACTTTGTCGCTATATTTAGCGAGTTTTCAGACCCCTTAGCGACTTTTGGGAGAGAGAAAGATTTCCAGTCATGAGATCTGTTCGCCAGGGTTGCCCAATTTCACCCTTTTTATTTTTGATTGTAGCTGAACTACTTTCATTACACATTTTAAATAGCCCAGTCATTAAAGGTTTATCTATTTTTGGTAAAGAAATCAGAGTGACTCAACTAGCAGATGACACCGTTTTATTCTTAAAAAACAAAGATCAGA